CCCCAATCCCTGAATCCCCAACAATCCTCAAATTCCTAATCCCAAAAGGCCGGTAACGCACTTGTAACGCCTCTGGTGTTCCAGGTGTCCATGGGCGACGGCGATTGCTTAACATCAGGTGATTCATCTGCGCGTTTACCGGCTTATCCCATAAAAAAACAAGCCTCCAGAGCCTTCCAGATTGGCTGGTTGGCAGCGACCTGCAACTATCGACTCATGGGCTTTTTTAGATCTTCTGTCCAACTTGTGATCCTGCACTGTGTCTGCGTCTACACAACAAGCTATGGATTCAAAAAATCATAAAGTAAATAAAACAAATCCATAACAAATTAAATATTTTCACTCATGATTAATTCACAGTCTAATATGTATGTACCTACTTGCTTGTTTGTTCTGCCTACCTTTTTAGTACTACACAAGGTGAGATATTCAATAGATAATTATATTTACGCGTACCGTAACAGGGAAACGATCAAATTCTAAGGTGTCAGTAATGATTGTGTCACGAGCTGTATCATTATCGTGTCTGATTTGTGCTTGATGTGTATCGTCAGAGATGCGAGATCTTGAAAAAATAGCTTCTACCTAAGATAAACTTGAAAACGTTTTTTTTTTCGAAACGACTGTATAGGCTTTGATGTACTTCGTGAAGCCTTATCAAACAACGAACGTATTCCTCAATTATTACAGGAAGCAATAGGATAGTTTCCTAAATTTTGTTTTAATGTCCGTCTGGTACATTAATTTAAAACTTTAGACACGTACATTTTCTTTTCTCACACAATTAAATACTTTCGACGATATAGTAATTTGAAATATCGTGTAACGTCACAGCGTGCCACATTTTGTAGCACGTTATGACGTAACAACCTCCCACTCCAAAACTTAGCGCCATTTTATCTAAGTATTGCAACTTAATACGAGAAAATAAAAAAATACATGTCTAATATTTTTTAATTATTTACCCTGGAAACTACCCACTTAAACCAATAATAATAATTCATGCTTTGAAGAGTTCAAAATCGTCAGCCATAAACCCTATATTTTCACCTCTAATACAATTAATAAATTAAGTACCTACCTAAAAAACATAATAAATAAAATTAATTATCAATATCAGCAAACAAAACCTCCAAAAATAATAACAAGACAATCAATTTTCCCCCTATCTTCAAAATATTTGATACACGTGACAAAACACGCGTCGTCTGCGAACGTGCCAAAGAGTTCCATTAATCACTCCAGTAATTAAAAACTATTCGACACGATTCTTAATGAGTGAAAATAGCTAAATGATGATGATTTTGGAAACGCGACTTCTGTCACGTCTCCTAACAAAATTAATAATGGCACAGAAGATCATTGAATCTTTAATGATTTCAGTAATTTGCGCGTCTACGTGATCAATGGAGCGTATAGTAACCCAAATATCAATTAGTTTAATAGTTTGTTGTTGTTATGAATGAGTTCATAATATTAGAATGATAAGGAAAATGAGCTATAATTAGGCTTTCTGGAAAACTAGCGAAACAAAGTTTGGTGCTGGTTCTGAGAAACAAAATTGTAGCCTAGTTCAAAAAGACTTCAATTATTTTTATTGTGTATGCCATTTTTTTGGAATACAGGCATATGGGCAGACGGGTCACCTAATGGTAAACTGCACACACTAGTAGAGTCACAGGTGCGTTGTTGTTTACCTACAAGAAGGAATAAGCTCTTTTCTTGAAGGTTTGAAGGTCATCTCGGATATTGAAAGATGATATTTGTGCAACTGACTGCCTCGTTGGTGCGACTGCTGGGCAAAGGGTTGTGTGTTAAATGCCTGGGTCGGGAAAGTACTACTAGGTTATTTTTTTAAAATCACTCATGACATAAATAGTTCAAGGTGGGTCATTGTACAGTGGCATTAAATACCGTAATGTGCATCCCTTCGGGGATAAGAGACGTGATTTTATGTGTTACATTTGTGCTAAAATACTAAAATATTTGCAAAGTTCTAACTGAACGTATATTGGTAATGAATTAATAATAATAGTTATCAGTTCGTTTAATTGGTCCAGAGTCATCTGAGAGATCACCCTGCCAAAAATCTTTTTTTCTTCTATCCGAATTATCGTTTAGCTTATCTTTCAATGCTTAGTTTCCTTCCATCTAATACTCTTCCGTATTGTGAGGTCGATCATATTTTCAATCACACACTACTATAATTGTTTTATGATTGACGAGTGCCGCGAAATCATCGCTTATTGACTGCTGATCGTCTCAAATTATATTCCGACCAGTTAAATGAGGATGATTCATGTTTCTCTGAATTTGTATCTTGAACTTACGTCTTGTTGGCCTCATCTAATACCTTTCTTCATTACTTTTTAAAATTGCATTTATGTTACAGTTGGAATATAATTTTTTTTATTGGTGCTCTCTTAATGTATTTGGATGAAATAGTAAATTATTTTATATTCCAAACTTGCCGCCGTAGTCTTTATGATACATTTCGTTGTTTTACATCAATATCACACCTCTTACTTATGATTCTAGAAATCAATTTCAATATTTAGGTCTATTTCTAACATAAAACTGAACAGCAACTTGGACATTTTCCACGTCGCTCCAAGATGTTTTTTGCGCAAAAATCTAAGATTAGCACTCAGACCTATTATCGATCGTTGTTTAGTACAAATATTATCATATTAATATCAGATAGTTTATGCTCATAACGACAGATAGAAACAGATAGATCTAATCTTTGAATTTGCGGCACTTAAAAGGTAATATGGGAATTATATCTCTAATTCATTCGATAAATCTGATCACTAAATCCTGGCGACTAAACAAAATAATTCGTTATTGATTGCTTATGACGTCACAAGATTAGCATCAATTCAATGGGAAATCACACAATGTTGAATGACAGAATCGATAATAGAATAAGAGATATCGATGATATTCAAGATTATATTTATTTTGTGGATGTTTTGGAACACAAATATACACTATACTATAGTATCTTATCAAGTTTGTATAATAAGTAATCGCGTATTTTGAAGTTTATTTGCATAGCTGCATACTCGAATAGTTTATCCCTCTGTGCGCTGTGATATATCTTATTTAGTTGATTTTCTGCCCTAATCTTCCTCTTCGACTACTTAGTTATACATAACTAAAGTACGCCTTTGAACATTTTTCTCTACAAAAATGTCATCGTCAAGAACAACACCATGTTCTTTCAGCTTGTTTTATGAAGTTGGATCATTGCATCATCATCATCAACAGCAACAGCCATTAAATGCCCACTGCTGAAAAAACACCCTCTTCTCACACAGAGAAGGTTTTGAGTATTCATCGCCACGCTTGCTCAATGCGGGTTGGCGATTTCAAACTTGTAATAAGAAATTATAAGTCCAGGTTTCCTCACGATCTTTTCCTTCACCGTTTGTCAGTAGTGTCTAAATAGTAATCTGAGAAAGTACATATAACTCGGAAAAAGTCGCATTGGTACTAGTTGTTGGTAGGTTTCGAACCGGTAACCTCATTCATGAGAAGCGGGCGTCTTAAACCTCCGGGCCACCACGATATATCTATGCTGTTGGATCATTTGCTTTTATGATTTCTACTATTTTCTTGTTAATCCTGCTTGAAGGGTCAAGCAAATATGGGGCTTCATCGTCATTGATTTTAAGACCAAATCATTAGGTTCACACATCAGTTTAACATCCTTAAACATATCAGTGTGTGTCTATGTTATTATGACTGTTGACAGTGATTGATGTCGACTATAGTTAAATAATAGTTTTTTTTTACATTTGTCATAACGTCTGTGATTCTAGGAAGTAGAGTCGAAATGTCAAGGGCGCTGATAAGTTTTGTGATGATATCGATATACACTCTTATAATAAACATATTACGGCTTTTAAATCACGAGGGAGGTAGAGGTAGGTACACCATATTTAATGTAACACCCACATTCACTCATTGTGGTATTAGTTTCATGAAGTAAATGGTGAGCCTATTGCCAAAATAGTCACAAATTCACAATTCCAGAATTTGTACCACTATTGAGAATTTAGGGAAAACCAAATAATACCCAATAACTTATCACCCGTCTTGGGATTCGAACAAGACAACCCTTGCTCGTCAGTCGCCCTCGTAACCACTCGACCTAGGATGCAGTCAAATTTGAACATAGATAAAAATTAATCATTGTCAAAATTTGTTTTCTCATTTTATTTCCTTTAATTTTTCTAAGAAGTAAATATTAAGTAGTAACTTATGGTCGATTGCGGTTGCTGATAACATTTCCAATTAAATTAACTGCAGGCTGTTGACACGACGACGAGGCATCAATCGGAAACATTTTGATTAAACCTTGTATGCGAATATTAAATATAGCACTCATTTTTCATTAATTTTGTATGAGACTAAAGTGATAGAGCTTGATTAAAACTGCGCATTTATCTTTGTAACTGTAAAACTGAGATTTTTTGGTATTTAATCTTATTCTTATTAGTATTTAATCAGATGTCCAGTTTAAGCCCAAGACCGCTTGCTTTTCATTCGAACTCACCATGGATAATGCTAAAACGAGGCAAGTACTTATTTTTTATTAAAATTCTTTATCCCAGATTTATAATTAAACCTTTTTAAACCCAACCTCACCTCATAAAGGTTGTCAAGTACTCATTAAAAACTAAAGATACATCGTACAAATGGAACGCGGAGTTCTTTTTTCGAAAGGCAACGTTCTCCGTTCCCGCCCTCGAACGCGATTGGCCGATAGCCGAGTACGTGTTGATGCGTTTGCGCAGATAAACCGACTGTTTTGTAACATAGCAAGCTTTGCGTGTGTTACAAGGAGAGTCAAAGTTTATAACTCAATTTTTATGGTTTGGGATTAGATTAAAACCACGAATTAATATTAATATGATAATAATTTAATAATTATACACTAAGTTTATTTACAGGATTCACTTATATAAAAGACCTAATTGGATGACTATACATTACTTATACTTATCTCTATTAACTAATCGGAGATATATTCTTTCATTTGGAGTCAGTAGGAGTCGCGTGGGAGTGTACGTGATTGATTCTGGAGTGTTCTTGGTGCATTCTACTCTGTATTTCAATAACATCTTCACCATACAAATATTAAACTGGAGTAGAGCGAACTTTGAACCTGAAAGGAACATAAGAAAATTAGAAAAGGATATAAACGCAAAACATCATGTTTAAACTTGTCACTGTTTATTTCGATTTGTTTCCATTTAATAAACTTTTGTATCTTGTAGATTACTGAAAATAGGTGACTGCATTTATTTTGATAAAGAGGTAGATAAAGCAATTACGGTATTGGATATACAATAAATAAGAACGCGGACAAAACTATAAATAAAAAAAGATAAAAATTGCATTGTAAAAAAAGATTAAAAGACGTATTTGCTGGATTACAAAAAACTAGATTAACTACGAGATTATACTACTGATTTATATAATAATTGTACTTACCAAGACAACTCCTTGGCCCATGTCCAAAGGATAACATAGCACAGGGGTGTCGTTCCCTCACATTTTCAGTAGAAAACCTTTCAGGTTTAAACTTCTCTGGTTCAGGGAAATATTTCTCATCGTGATGGAATGAGTATGGAGATATTGCTAGGATAGTATTTTTTGGAATGACGATATCTGTGCCTTCTAACTGCACATCTCTTGCAGCATTCCTGACAACAGCGTTTGTCATAGGACGTAAGCGTAAAGTCTCTTCGAAAACCATCTCTAGGTATTTCATTTCTTTTAACGATTCGTAAGAAAATTTACCATCGTACTTTAGCATAACTTCATCAATTTCTTGTATTAGTATATCTTGTTTTTCAGGGTTTTTGGCCAAGTAATATAATGCATAAGATAATAGTAAAGAATTATTACCATAACCAGCAAAGTAGAAGATAAATGCTTGGCCAGCTAACATCTCATCTGTGATTTCCAACCAATGTTCCTTTTCACCATTCTCTTTTCTAGAGGCATTAATACTTCCTTGTCTTTTTAATTCCATCATAATATCAATAGCTCTATTTCTTTCGGTTTTGTCCGTGACTCCTAATGTCGCACCAGCTTCAATTATTTGTTTAAAATACCGAGATATTCTATCAGGAAATATTGATAAATCAAATCTTGTAAGACTGCCAGGGAAAAGTAGCTCTAGCTCAAGGAGATATCTAGGATACTGAATTCCTTCATCCAACACATCACATATTAAGTTGTTTTCATCATAAGGCTTCAAATCGATACCGAAAGCAGCCATCATGATAGAGTCAGCACCATATTTTCTAAAACCCGGCAGTATATTTACTTCTCCATTTTCGTCACTAACTCTTCCCATGTATTCAAGAAACTGCTCCGCTCGATTAGCAAGCATATCAAAATTAGCCTTGAACTTGTTTGGTGTGAATGCAGCAGTCATATGTTTTCTTAGCCCTTTCATCACTTCGACGTCAGCGTGGAAGAGATTGTCTCCCAGCTTTTGCTTGCTGTAGTATACTCCGCGATCAGGAAAAGATTCAAAATCCTTTTGTAGCACTTGTTTCACTATATCAAGATCACGAATCAACAAAGTTGGTGACATCATTCTGTATAAACCCACTACTTTCTCATCTGGATATTGTTTGTAAATATCGTGGTATAGAACGCCAATATGTTTTCTCCTGAAGAATACATCAATGTAGTTACCAAAAAGTGGTATTGGGCATGGTCCTTTCACATTTCTCTTTTTCCAAAAGTCAAAAGTTCGTGTGAAATAAAGATACAGAGCGCAAACGAAAGTTATTAAAGTTGGCAGATAAATAAACATTTTTGTAGATGTCACCGTAGTGGCTAATTTAGTGTTAATGATAGGCGTGTTCGACTTAATTCTGTTTATATACGACCGAAGAGCCTACGATACGACGTTGCACTGATAATGGGAACAATTAGTGGTAGTAGATATTTTGATGATTGGATTAGTACACGTAGTCGGATGAGTGCAATGATACGTATGCAACATGCATCGAAATGTTTTGGAAAAAAAGACAATACCTACAGTTTATTTTTCTCAGGTCAATAATAGTTCGTAACCAAAAACTAATGCTTGATTTAAGACTACATTATTTGAAATTATGCACCTTTATGTAAAACATTTCGTGGTCAGCAATTTTCTTCTCAGACCTCAGTTCTGATTATGGATTAAATTGTGTTTCACCTTTAAACTTAAATACTCATTTACTGTTTTCAAAATGTCTCTATTTATAGTTTATTTTCAAAATACAGAAGTCTAAACAACAAAGACAGCTGATAAGAATCTATATTATCGATCACTATCAGTCTATTTAAAATTGATGCTATCACAGTTGGACTTTCCAGTAATGTATATATGTCACCAGATATGTGTGGCGTCGCAAATTTTAAATGAGAAATTAACACAAACACTAATAATTGTCACTTCACTAAAGCGTCTACCACCAACGAATTTAAAAGTACTAATATTTGCAAAATGAGAATTATTAAAGTATATTTTATCTGATATCAGGCCTAAAATTTGTTCTGCTTCATTGAATATTACACGTGTCATTATCTTCGCACGTGTTATCGTATTGACTTTGATTTGGTTTTACATTGGGTTTTTTACTTGTGAAGGAATCATGAGCATTTTGTTCCTGAGACAGATCTTTAAAAACCTCATTATAATCGTCGTCAACATCAGTCTCTATCTTTCTGCTCTCCTCACCTCTGTTACTGGCCTCTTTTCACAAGGTAAGAAACGAGTCCAGGTTTCCTCTAGATTATTATCTTTCGCCAAAAGAAAGAGGTGAATAACAGAAACTTATTTTTTGTGACGTAATCATGTATGTACATCATAGTCATATCAAATGATTTCCGTTGTTAATTAATATTTATCACCAAAATACTTTTCTTCTACGTTTTTTCTTGCAGGATTTCGTCACCGTCATCTACTATGCTTATCCATCATAATATTTAAGTATTAAAAGATAAAAGATTGCTATCGTTTATGTATAATCATTATACGAAATTTGATGTATTAGTCTTTAAAAATAGTATGAAATCATAAAATGTGATGTCTATTCAATATTTTCTTATGAATTGCAATTCCAAGTCGATGGTATCAATAAATTCACATTAATTTTACTATTTAAAAATACTTATTAATGTGTCATCATTTCAGCTGTATGTTAATATTGTGAATACCTAATATTTCAATTCGCGTACCACACACTTCAGTGCATTTCTATTAAGTATTTGCCCAGAATACCCATTCGATCATAACCAAGTTTAATTGTTAAGTTTGTGAGTATAATAATTACTAGCTACTTCCGCAAGGTTTCATACGCTCTGCTCAGCTCCTATTGGTCGTAGCGTGATGTTTTATAGCTTATAGCCATCCTCGATAAATTCACTATCCAACACAAAACGAATTATTCAAATCAGACTTGTAGTTACGGAGATTAGCGCGTTCAAACAAACAAACAAACAAACTCTTCTACTTTATATAATAGTAAGTATAAGATATAAGATTCAATATCAACAGCCTATAAATGGCCACTACTAAGCAAAGTCTCTTCTCACACGGAGATGGTTTGAGTATTAATCACGCTTGCTCATTGTGGGTTGGTAATTTCAAGTTTCCTCACGGTGATTTCCTTCACCGTTTGTCAGTGGCGTCTAAACAATTTTAGAAAGTACATATAACTCGGTAAAAAGTCACATTGGTACTTGCCTTTAGTAGGTTTCGAATATTCATACATAAGAAGCTTAACCTCCGGACTACCAAGACATCATGTGAAGTTTTTTAATGAATCAAGTCAAAACGACTGAAGGGATCGGGATGAAATGAAAACAGTGTTAGATTATCGTCTGACTGGTATTTTTTAAAGGGACAAGCCCGCCACAACCTCTCAAAACCGCTGCAACTCCTGTAAGCCAGGATCTACAGTAGATACAACCATGAAAACACCGGAACACTGAAGTCCGGCGCGTCCCAGGGACATGGATAACTGTCTTGGTTCCCGCAACAAAGTGAATCAGAAGATATTATAAGAGGAGAAAAAAATAATGATAGTTTCCACTTCTGACTGAAGTCTGACTGTGATTATAACACATTTTACCATGGAAACGCTGGCATAAGCTGTTACCTACAACATAACTACAAAGTAAATGGTCCTCGCTAGTAACTACCCAACTACAACTATTTACAACAACCGTGACGAATCAGAAAATCGAATCACAACTATAAACTTCATATCTACATTCGAAATATTACCATCAAAACGAATTGCCGAAAAAATCTCTGTATCAAATTGGGTTCAACAAAGATACCGGTATAATTATGAGGAGGCTAACCGTCAGAAGACGTTCTGTATATCTAATTAGAGCTATGATTTATGATGGGGCAAGTTGTGGCAATTATTGTGGGGCGATTAAGAAATGGCCGTTAGGAATCCTCTATGATGTTACTACTTCTGAATTTGTTTTGACGGACTATTTTTGAGACAAGTTACAGATATTAGGTTGGATTTAAATCTAAAGTCTATACAAGTGTGCCGTCCTTACCCTATTACTTGGTACTTACGTGCATCATTAATTTAGTAAGTAACATTATATTTATATATATTTAAATGAATCCCTTTTTCCCTTGGTCACGGCATCACGCGTGAATGTCTGGACCGATTGCATTAATTCTTTTTTTTATGGAATAGGAGGCAAACGAGCAGACGGATCACCTGATGGTAAGCGATCAGCGCCGCCCATGGACACCCACAACACCAGAGGAGTCACAGGTGCGTTGCCGGCCTTTTAAAAAGGAGTACGCCCTTTTCTTGAAGGTTTGAAGGTTCTTCGACGCAGTTGGTATAAAAATCATAATGCTTGGGTGATATAATGGAAATACAATGATTTTATTATCATCATCGGCCTGGAGGCCATTATAAATATGTCATTTATATTTCCATTTGCTCTTTGGCGTTAGAAGTCAGGTTCATTAAATATTGTGTGTAAAAACTGGGACTTCTAAAATGAAATTAAAAACATCTTGTTACGATACCAAAATATGGCCACAATAGAAAACAATTGATGGTTTATTATGCAACATGCAATTTTGAATACCATATGGCACGGAACGGCTACTTCGAACGAATCATTATAGGCTAAGCAGAACGCTCTATCGTTATAGTAAAAAACTGAATTATGGGTCAAAAATGGTCATTTTTTCAACTAACTAGGACTGTTTTTATAGTATGGCTATAAAATCGGACACAAACACCAGTTTCTCAAAACGACTTAAAAGTTTTAATTTTAAACTCTAAGAAGAGGGGTCGTGAGCGCAACTACCAAGTAGAAGTCGAGGGTAAGAATTTCAGGTCAGAATAAATTATTATTGTGATTTATTGATTTCAAAAATTCTTAGTATTAACAAGGTTTTATGTTTATAAGAAGAGTTTTAAGATTTTCGACACAGAACCCCAAAACCCAAAACTCCAACCAACATTAAGCTGCAATTTGGTTGCTAAAGAACAAAACATGTGCAATCCTTTTATCGGATGATAATGTATTGCGAAAACTGTTGTTATTTAGAAATCTTGTATTCACTACAATGCTCTTAGCCCGCGGTGAGCTATTGTTACGCTTTATCGATGTGCGCATAACATTTAAACTTGAGCTGCTGTTACACCGACGGAAATATTGCGTGTTAAAATAAAGCCATTTGCACCGACCGCACCAGAAGGAATGATATTGTTTTTTAACTAAATATTCAGTCGTTAGATACCTAATAACTAGTAAATTAAGCATTACATTCCTGCATGCAAAATTTTTAATGAAGATCTAAAAGGAGAAAAGAAATGTAAATCACCTTATTTTTATTATCCACAAGCAGTAGTATTTCAAACAAACATTAATTACAAATAAAATGATACATAAAAAATTATATCGTAAACCGATATCAAATATCACAAACATAAATCTCTTATCATTTAACCACAAATTACATGACAGTGTAACAAATGAGCGTATTAAACGTTCCCACAACGCAGCGACAGGGGACGTCCGTTCGCGCCCGTGGCCGCGGGGCGAATGGCACTTTTTGCTTTTTTTACATGCGGGTAGTCGAACAAGCGGGGCAAGAATGTGACCGTGCGTAGTGCGATATGAAACGCCGCTGGGCGTAAAGACACTCGTTTTTTGTGTATGAAGCGAATAAATTGCTGTTCTTTAATCTCCTCGTGAGATGGTCAATGACTATAGCCCTTGGACATATTCGATGTACTTGCGAAGTGCAATATCCAAGGCTTTGGAACCTTACGTTTATAATCATAATAAAGCTATATATTTTGTCCCTAGCTCAGTGCTATTATTTGTTATCTAGAATCAGTAATGTCTGTGTTCATGTTTACTGAAAATTGTGTTTATGTGTAACTTGTATTTAGGCCTATCGATAAGTTGTGAGTCATATTCGTAATTGTAAAAATGTGTAGTGATTTAAATAAAATATGTTGTGACTAAAAAGGGGTTGTTATTAGCTATCGGACTGACTGACAAACTATTATTTATTTTGTATTTGTTGAAATTTCAAAAGTACCAAATTATAGTTTAATTGAAATTTTAAATGATTTGACTTTGACTTTGACTTTAACAGACGTCTTTTCAAAATAATAGATACCTACTTAAACTGTCAAATACCAAGCGGTCACCGGTGACCGCGACCTATTGTTCTTTAATTGTGTCTATAAAACCGGTACTCGACGAGTTAATACCGATATTTCTAAGGATTCTTTTTGTTTTCTAAATTAAGTTCACAGTGAC